CATGTCACGTCACATTATTATGTTATGTTATGTTAAGTTATGTTATGTTATGTTACGTCACGTCATGTCACGTCATGTCACGTCACATTATTATGTTATGTTATGTTAAGTTATGTTATGTTATGTTACGTCACGTCATGTCACGTCATGTCACGTCACATTATTATGTTATGTTATGTTAAGTTATGTTATGTTATGTTACGTCACGTCATGTCACGTCATGTCACGTCACATTATTATGTTATGTTATGTTAAGTTATGTTATGTTATGTTACGTCACGTCATGTCACGTCATGTCACGTCACATTATTATGTTATGTTATGTTAAGTTATGTTATGTTATGTTACGTCACGTCATGTCACGTCATGTCACGTCACATTATTATGTTATGTTATGTTAAGTTATGTTATGTTATGTTACGTCACGTCATGTCACGTCATGTCACGTCACATTATTATGTTATGTTATGTTAAGTTATGTTATGTTATGTTACGTCACGTCATGTCACGTCATGTCACGTCACATTATTATGTTATGTTATGTTATGTTATGTTATGTTACGTTACGTTACGTTACGTCACGTCACATTATTATGTTATGTTATGTTATGTTACAGTATGTTAAGTTACGTTATGTTATGTTACGTTACGTTACGTCACGTCACGTCACGTCACGTCACATTAATATGTTATGTTACGTTATGTTATGGCCAATTTCACAGTTTTGAGCTCTGCTTTATAGATTTAATCTGAGATGTGGTACCAGAATTATAGGAATTTACGAATTTAGGAATTTATTCATTTCATTTGGAAACAAAGCAAATTTTATATACAATAAAAATGTAAGTGACTAATAAACTAAAATGAAAGGCAGCAGAAAGAAGAAAAAAATCCTATAAAATCAGCGCAATTTCTCTATCAAATAAATTCTAACAATGATAATCTTTATGTAACAAAACAAAAAATTAAAAAGTAAACTCAAATCTTTCTTGAACAGTTGTTTTGGATACACATTATACCATTTCATTTGTCTTCAACAAACCAAATTTTACTATTCTCCTAAACTTATACACTGATCCTGCCCTTTTGACATCACTCTCCAGATTATTCCATAATCTCATTCCCTGTATTGATGTGCATCGTTCCTTTAAACTGGTTCGAATTTTAGGTTTTACAAACACCTCTATCCCTTTTAAATTATAGTAACTCTCTCGCTTAACAACATTTTATCGGATGTTTAAAGGTAATATATTTTTATGAGCCTTATATATAAACTGTAAAATGTTGTAATCAATGAACTCATAGAATTTTAATAATTTTAAGTGATAAAATACAGTGTTTGATGGGTAACCATAATGTTTTCTAGTGATAATTCTTACAGCTCTTTTCTCTAAAACAACAACAGGATTTATAATTGTTTTACATGCTTTCCCCCAAACTTTATATTCATAAAGCAAAGCAAAATCAAAATTTATTTTTTAACACCTTTAAAAATACCTTTATTGTTTTTTATTTTAATACTTTCTTTTAAGACATTTCAAGGTAAAACGTGGCATGCACACACTTCATGGTCCACTTTTTGCTGTGAATCAGTCAAATTGTTGGACCTTGTTACCCTAATTTTAACTGCTTCCAGTGAGGAACTGACCTTTATGTTTTACTGAGTTCAATCGATATCTTACAAAAACACTTGGTGGCGCTCTAATCAAAGAATAACAGTCAGTCAGCATCTCAACCCCTGTTTTTACATTTTCTCTCAGCTTTATTAATATTTGTTACCATGTGAAGCAGAAAAATTCAAATCTAACAAGATATTTTCATCCAGCTCCTACAGCAGTTTAACAGATATTTGCACTTTATTACAGGGATTAATAAATATGAGTTATTGTGTCTGAAGTGTGATTACTGGCATTTTATCCACATTTGCTGGAATATAAAATAACTACAGCAAAAACAAACAAATGAAGCTTCGTGCAGTGATGAGTCAGATGAAACAGCAGAAATCTGACAAATATAATTTAGATCAATGATCTGTGAGCTCAGCTGGAACAGATGTAAAACAAAATGTTTGTTATAATCAGTGTTTTAGATAAATTAAGTCATGAACTTAACAATTTTCTTGTTATGTTACAAATTATCATGAACACAAAACATCTGACAGCTCATCTTTTCTCACAGTTGCAAAAACAACCTAAATGTTGTTTATTAGAGCTGCAGTTCTTCCTGTTAAAAAGTGACTCTTATCAAGCTTTACGTCATAGTTCTCTGTACTGCTGCTTGTTCCAGGCTGGGTTCACATGTTTCACAAACGGTTCTTTAACGTGTTCTCTCTCTGCTGCTGCCGTCAGTCTGAAACACAGGAAAAAACACAGAAAGGCTCTGAAGCCTTACACCGTGATGAAGACCTTGGGGTTTTTTGTAAACACTTTTTTATTTGAAGAACTCACTAAAGATGAAAAAAATGATGACATGATTTCTAAGGTTTTTATTATTTTAGAGCAGGGGTGTCAAACTCCAGTCCTCGAGGGCCGCTATCCTGCATGTTTTAGAGGTTTTCCAGCTCCAACACACCTGATTCAGTGATTGAATTAACTCTTCAAATTGGGCAGAAGCCTGTTAATTACCCAGCGATCAAAATCTGGTGTGTTGGAGCAAGAAAACCTCTAAAACATGCAGGATAGCGGCCCTCGAGGACAGGAGTTTGACACCCCTGTTTTAGAGGAAGTTAAAGATTTTAGAAAAGCAGTGATACAGTCTCCATCTGCACAGGGGCGGAGCCAGAATTGCGGCTGCGGTGCCACCTCTGGCACCTGGTTGGCCACCCCAGGTGCCCCCCAAAAGACTGATGCACATTTGAACATTTCAGCTCAATATTTCCTAAAACAGCTGAATCAGAGCCATTTGAAATTGGCTGTGGCGGCCATCTTGAATGTTCAAATCCAGGAGAATGTCCTTTATTTACGTGTGCACCCCATAAATAACACCTCGGCCACCCTTCGCAAAAAAAACTCTAGCTCCGCCCCCGCCATGAGAAAAGAATCAGGACTGAAAGAACGGGAAGAAAAAATAACTAAAAATTGGCAAAATGAAAACTAAAGACTAGCTAATGGTTAAAAGTAGCTGAAACCAACTTGCTAAAATTAGCATAAATGTAGCTGAAAGCTAAAATTAGCAGAACAGTGAGTGTTTTAGCACCTTGAATGAGCTGAACATTTTGAAATATGATTGGCTGAAGAGATGCAAAACAAAGAGGGAAAACCGTTGAATAAATGCTGACTCAGCATTTGTACATTTAATGATGAGCGATGTGAAAAGCACAGAGTTGAAAAAGAACGAGTGATTTCTGGTGTTTGCTCGCGCCGTTTGGATCCTGATGAGGGGATCGACGGCGCCCCGCTGC